TACTATCATAGATATATAATAGTACACTTTAGAAGTTTCAAGTACCCACGAATAGTATTATTCAATCACAACAAAATAACTAAAATCGTAATTCTTGGTTTAAATATGAAATTTTGTCTAAATTTGAAATTAAAATGTCTGTAAAAAATAAGTGTGTTTATATATTTTTTAGATTTTTTGGTTACAGTATGAATTATTTAAGAGAATCTTTGTTTTAAATTTTCAACTCTTAGTTATAAAAACTGAACATTTTATAATTTTTTAATTCCAACGATTGATAATTTTCGAGATTTTGATAAATTTTGTCAAAATTCCAACTTTAAATGCTTATAAAAAAAAATCGTGCCTATGTATTTTTAATATTTTTCAACTGATATTGTAACAATATATCAGGAGCCTTGTATTAAATTTTTACACTTTTTGGCCCAACAGATAAAACTTTATTGATATTTATAGAAAAAAAAACTAAAAAAAATTGAAAGCTGTAAATGTCCATAAACAGCTCAAAAAGAGTCAAAATATTTTCAAAATTGTATGGTGTATATGAAATGCTAATATAAACATTCAGTGAAATTTTCATGTATCTACAGTTATTCGTTTTTGAATTACAACAAAATAAGGAAATCGCTACATGAGAAATCGAGTGAATATCCAATGTTGTAAAAATTTGAATTTCAAACGCTCATAAAAATTTAATTTGACTGTCCGGTAGAGATTTTTTTATTGATAAAGGTAGATAATCTTATAAGGAATCTTGTGTTTCATTTTCAAATCTTAGATTTAAAAAGAAAAATTTTTACGAATTCTTAACTCAAAATAATTTGCTAATTTTCGTGATTTTTCCATATTTTGTCAATTTTTGAACTTTAAATGCTTATAAAAAAAAATTGTGACTAAGGATTTTTAATATTTTTCATCTGCCTTTGAAACAACATATTAGGAGCCTTCTATTAAATTTTCAAGCTTTCGCAACCAACAAATAAAATTTTATTGATATTTCTAGAAAAAAAACTAAAATAAAATGAAAAATGAAAATGTCCCTAAACAGTTCAAAATAAATCAAAATATTTTGAAAATGTTATCGTGTATAGAAAATGCAAATATAAACAACCAGTGAAAATTTCATGTATCTACGGTCATTTGTTTTAAAGTTACACCAATAACCAAATTCGATTTTTTGGAAAATCGATTTTGCTTAAAAATTCCCGTTTTTCCTTAATTTTTATGTTGTTTTTCCCGGCGCTTGTGAAAACTACTGGAAAATGTTTACTTTTGACCCCCCAAAGTACCAACTAGATTCACTTTCCTATCAGAAAAGGTACTATTGAAGAAAATCGAAGCACTTTTACTGTCCCAAAACGTGATGACAGACACAAAAATATAAATAAAAATATAAATAAAAATATAAAAATATAAAAACATACATCATTGTAAAACCAATACATTCATCGCTCCGCTCAGAATCTAAAACAGTATATGTAAATATAGCTAGCTTCATACAACTTCCAGTCAAGTGCCACTAATGGGTGGCTTCTTAATCACGTACTCATGTATTATTGTTTTAAACCCTTATCAAATATTCTAATTGTGCATAATTTGTACAGATTGTATATAATATTGTGTAAAATAAAAAAAAAAAAATTAGAAAATAAAAGTAACTTAATTTAGTTAAAAATAAGTTACTTTTTTTTTTTTTTTAAATAAAATTAATAATTATACCTAGGTACCTACCTTTTTTAAAGCCAACAAATAACAATAATAAATAATAATTCAATAAATGTCTTACAATTTTTAAATAAATGTTTATAATAATATTAGTTACTGTAGGTACTTATATATTTTGTATATTATACTTTACTCAATGATGAAATCCAATAAAATAATAAAATAATTGTTATGTATTTCAGTATAATATGACGTAAATGGTCCACAACTATACTAAATATTATAATAATACAATTAATTATTATTTATTAGAATATATAATATAAAATATTATTCAATTAATAGTAAGAATTTAGAAATACGTAAATACGATGAACTACCACGCTACTACGCTACGGATATTATACCATTTATACTATTATTTACACCGACAGTCCAAGTTAGGTTATAGTTTTCTTGTATTAATGACGCAGTTACCCCTATAATATTTCAGTCTATAATCTATATATATAAAAATGGAAACAAATAATTCGAAATTGCATCAGTTGAGAACGGCTGGGCCGATTTTGCTCAAATTTTTTTTAAGACGTTCGTAATTGCCAGGTGGAGGTTTTTACGAAAGAAAATTTTTAAAAAGTCAACCGAATAATTAGGAAAACTGCAAAAACTATTTATTGATGTCTGGGATTTGAACTCGATACCGTTGTCTTTATTTACTCTATGGTGTATTATATTATATTGGTTGCTATTGGTTAATCGGGCATGTTTGTTAATTTGTATTATTATTTTTTGTAAATATATCTTATATATAAATGAATGACCTATAGGAAGAAGATACGCTAATTTAAAAAGGGTTAAATTTGGTTTTTTTTATTCATCGGATTTTAGTACGGTTAGGTAATAGGTTAGGTTAAGATTTATAGGTAGGTGGAATTAAGTAAAAACGTCAAACTTGGTATAACTTTGGTACTTTTTGAGTTAAATCATACACTTACGTACAAACAGCAAGGGGTCCGCGATCTACCGCAGGTAAATTACCTATCTGATAATGTACTGCTGCAATTCAGATAGCGAAACCACAGCCGCCTACTGTGAGTTTCGCGACCGTGGACGCACGGTATAGATCGCGTCCTCGGGTTGCGGATAGAGGGAAGCCCGGTTCCCTCGGTAGCTTCCGAGTCGGGTAGCCGGCGAATAACTAATAACCGGCCGCGGACAGCTTCGATTAAATGACCCGTAGTTCCGGACAGTATGTCCTCTGGGCCGGTTCACGGTCGCCGGCTGGGCCACCGACCCAAGCGGTGGTGCTCTTAATATGAGTTGAGAGCACGGGCGCCGGAGTTCGCTCCGTCCAGCAGCCGGGCGTCTCAGCGTAAGCCGGGTTTGGGCATGTCTCCGGGACACTGCGGTGAGTGTTACGGGCTCGCGGCTGATGGCTCGTCTGCTTAGAGTCCCTAATTCGGTAGGCGAGGGTGGTCGTCGCAAATAGTCCCACCTTTGACTGAAAGGTAGGGCTGTCGTCAGCTTGGGCTGGGCGCCTCGGCTCGGCAGGCATCCGGGTCGGGACGTTTGGCCAGACTGACCCAAGAACGGGTCCTTGCTGAAAGATGGTTCGAAAGGGTGGTGGCCGAGATTAATTTCGCACCTCGCGGACGCACGTCCGCGGTTAAGGCAAACAAATGCCTGTTTTGCCGACAGAACTGGTAGATCCCGAGGGGGCGAAAGTCTGACTGAAGACGCTTCAGTACCACGGGAGTGAGTGGGGCCCCGTCGGTAACGACGCCGCTCACCGCGGGCGTCCAGTGATGGTTCACGCCCCTGGACGTCCGTTGCCGGTAGGAATCGTGGTGGTTGTATTCTTACGAATACTTTGTGGTTAAGTCAATAGATGCTTATTCTAAGTTCTCGCTGACAGGCGAAAACCTCTGATGAACGGCCGCCACGTCCCGGGGACGCGAGTCACCGGTACGTTGTCGGTTCCTCTCGGGCGTCTAGCCGCTATACCGGTGTAGTATCATCGGAGGTTGAGTGTAACCAGAAACACTCGGTGTGGGGATAGCGCACAGCCAGACCAGGCGAATTCAGGCGGCACTCGGCCTGTCTTCTTGGTACGGGACCTCGGTCCCGGTGCTCGTGGTCCGTAGACGACGCGCGGTCGGCGGACTGGGCCACCGTACGTCGACCGTGAACCTCCGCGGCTCTCGACTAGCGCACAGCGCTAATGTGAGGTCCGCGGTTGTAGCCGCAAGGCGTCAAAACCCGGGAGTCTTCGTGCTGCAATTCAGAATTTTTATTCCGGGCAACAGAAGATAAATCTAGAACATCATACACCGAATATTAAATAACGCATTGAACAATGTTTGAGTCATATAGAGTTGGTACATTTAACGGGAAACGAAGTGCACGGGATCAGCTAGTATAGTTATATAATATTTTCTGTGAATATGAAATATAAATATATAATAACTTACTATTATTATAAATTATTATTTACTAAAATAAATTTAATATTTTGGGTTTTTTTTTATATAAATAATTATACAAAATTGGATTAATTTTAAATATGTGGTTTGGGAAAAAATTAACTCAACGTGTCAATAAAATTAATGAACTAGTTAAGTTACCGAATAACATGGGAAAAAATGTAACTCGTTAACTAACTTAGTGAAAAGTAACTTTTTATCTTAACTTTAACTTATTAACTCGTTAATGCCCAGCCTTGCTAATTACTCATTATACGATTAATCAACAGGTGATAGAGAAAAGTACATTAATACATTAATAAAAAAAGTACATATTTTACTACAGACTGGCACTAAAACTTATATTAAATTATAATTATGAAAATTGACATTTTTATCGGTTGGTAATGTTGGTATGAGATAGTGTATTTTTTTTTCCTATTATCATTTTTATCATTTGTAAGAGAACGGCTTTTGGCCCTTCCGTTGAGTTCCCTAGTAAGTTGTTGACTGTTGTTGTTGATAATCAATGATTCAAGCACAGATTTCTATATAGTATATTATATTTCTGTGGATTCTAGTCATTCTTAGTTTATGGTTGTGATTGAGTGAATGATTGATAATTATTATTTATTGTATGCAATCAATTAATTTATTGCGAAATACGATAATCCCAAGTGTCAGTTTACATCACGAACAAAGATAATAATATAGTGTATCTTAGTTCGTGGTTTACATGTTGATTAATTATTTACATCAATGACATTCACATATAACGTACATAAACGCTTTTGTGGTAAAACTGTAGGTTAATACTTAATTTGTATTTTGCCAATATTGAACAAAAAAGAATTTGTAAACATCATAAATAAAATGAGTAATAAAAAACCTCCTATACCACAGTGTCCTACATTACCAGTAGAAGAAGAAATCGAAGAAGATTTAAAAACAATAGACGAAACAGAAGCTCCACTGTTGACAGGTAACTTATGATCCTAATAGGTAAATTATATACCTGGATATCCAAGCCAAAATATACAGGTGATTATGAAAGTGAACATTTAATTATGTGAACATTTTTTCTTAGATGATGCTAAAGTTTTATTAGAATCTATCGGGACTGAAGTAATTAAAAATGATACACAAGAAACAGCTCAAAAGCTCGTTGATAACGTGGATGAATTAGAACAAACAATTAGTACATTGGATAAGAAGCATAATGCATTGATGACTTGTGAGAAAGAATTGGAAGAAATTGAAGAAGAAATAGATAAACAGATTAAAGAAATGAATAAGTATGACATTTTACATTAAATGCAATACTCAGTATTTATGTTTTATATTTTTATAATTAAAATCAAAATGTATAGGTACCTACTCCATTTTTTTTTTTGATGATAGTAAATTTAAAAAATATAAACTGCTTAGCTTATTAAAAAACGTTTAACAGATATCAACGAAAGTATTAAATTAATTTGGAAATCTACACTATGATCATTACCTATATAAAATTAAAAAAACATTATTAATAATTACTCTTAAGCTGATAAATACAATAAAAAATGTTTTATGGCTAAAGAAGTTCTAAAATGGTAAAACCACCTATTTAAATTGAGCACAGATTGTGCATCAAAATGAGAATTTTTGATCTTTCAATAGTTATTACTTATTATAGATAGTGGGAAATAAAATGAAGTGAAAACTTTTTTGGAAAAAAGAACCAGAATTAAAGTTATGAAAATTTGTTGGTTAATATGACGCATAGCGTTATTGATTTAATGCCTAAATTTAAAATACCTTAAAATATACACAATATTTTAAATAAAAGATTAATAATTTGGATAACTGTGACCAAAGTACCCAATGCATATTATAACGGTTGACTTGCTTTTTAATATTTCATTTCATTTTCTGTTTCAGCTACATATCTGAAATTCAATCAAATGCTACTCCTGCAGTAAAGTAAACATGTTTAATTATCTTATATTAAATGGACCAATAATTGCTTCTATTTTTATATTTGTAAAATTTAAAATGTATTATTTACAAAATGTTATAATAAAAATGAGATCTTGGTAAAAAGATAAATTATATTTTTGTTATAAAATGTATACAATAAAAATCTGTTATTTAAGTAAAAATGCCAATAAAGAAATTTAATAATATGTTTATATTTTTTTAAATTACATGGACATGCCACTCTTTCTTACAGCGGCGCTCAGTAAAGGATTAGGATCTGGTTCTTCTGTGATTACTTCAACTTTAACCCATTCTTTGTTTCCACTAGAAGACCGTATTGCATCAATCACTGCTTGGACGTACAAGCTGTCTTCAAAAGTGGCAGCGGATGAAACGGGTTCTTTTACCCAACCCCTTTTATCTTCAACTGGCAAAAATGCCTCTCGTAAAGCACTGATCATTTTTAGTAAACCTTTCATGCAAGGTCTAGGCATGATATCTGCGGAAACCACATTTATCGCATCTGATTTTTGTAAGTCTTCCACATCCAAATACAATACTTCGTCTTTGTCCTTATATAAATCTCCACCTTTGACAATTAAATTACCCTCAGTACCACACATCAGCACTTCTTGGATATAAGTTCCAGCAAGATGATTATTTAATGTAACTGTAACTAAAGACTTGTCAGCCATTTCCATTTGGAAAGTACAAAAGTCTGGACTAGTCACTTGCCTTACACCTGTCATACACTTAAAATCTTTATTAAATGTTTTAACAATACCATGAACGCGGATAGCTTTTTGATCAGTTAAATATGTAACCAAGTCTATAACATGACTTCCGACTAAAGTCAAGACCCCACCACCCATTGTTTTATCACATAACCAGTTATAATTATCCCCATACAAACGGCCCATTTGTACTTTGACATCGCATAAAAACACATTTCCAATTTTGTTTTCAATAATTTGTTTCTTCATTTGCACAAATGCTGGTAAGAATCTTAAGCTATGGTTGACAACTGATATAAGTGAAGGATAGTATTGAGCAGCATGTACCATTTTAATAGCTTCACTCTGGCAAAGACCAGCTGGCTTATCGCACAGAACATGTTTCCCGATACCCAATGCTTTGACGGCTATTTGTGCATGAAGATTTGGAGAGCACACAATAAAAATGAGATCTACATCTTTTCTTAGAAGCACATTATCGATTTTGTTAGTCCAAAAAGGTATTTGAAGACGTTTAGCAGCTTCTTCAGCTTCATTCATAGTACGTCCCCATAGTGCTTCTACTTTGAAACCCTTATCACGTAAAAAGGGTACGATTATTTCAATAACTTTACCTGTTGATATATAAATCAATTAATTACAAGCACAATAATTGTTATTTGTTGATTTAATAATTAGTCACAGTATGTATATTTTCATAACTAAAAAGTCTGATCAATTTTATTGTTTATCTTTCATATAAACTATGTTATAAAAACTATTATTCAAAGTAATATTATATAAAATGAAACATTTAGTTAGAAAAACCATTAACATAAAATAAAATCAACTCAAAAGCAAACGAAAAAAACAATATTAATATTGTAGTTATTTAAAATTTCATAAGATATTTTTTTTTAATTTAAAATGTATTAGATACAATTTTATATAAATTAAAGTTACCTGTTCCAAAAACACCAATACCGGGCAACATTCTCTTAATGAGAAATCTTAACTCTTAAGAGTTAACTTATGGTTATTAATATTAAATCATTTAAATCGAGTAAGTTTTACATTTTTAAAAAACAAACATTTGATTTTATTCAAAGTAATTTCAATTTTATTTTCCTGTGATAATATTATTATTATGTTCCACAAAATATTTGTTCCAATAGTCTTTAGTTCCAACATTTTTTAGAACAAAAGATCATTGGAGCGAATGTCTTATGGAAAAAGTGGTTACTGGAAGAAATAATTTTTGGAGTTAATAATTGGAAGATGTTTTTATGAAAACAAGGAGGGCATTGGAGTAAAATATAATATAATGTCTATCATTTTATAGTATTAGATAGATTTGAAATATAACTTCAGTGCACAAATTACGTTGAAAAAAAATGTGTGGGATTGGGTTGGACGAATAGGTTTCAGCCGACAGCCAGTAAAGGGAAGACTTATATATGACGTGTTAAGTAATAAAGGGTTGGTTAAGTTAAGGGTAGGGTACAATATGATACACAATATTAATATTAATGAACTACCTATTACCTAATAATAAGAAAAACATAATATTTTCACTCTTTCATTAATAACATTAATGGTAAATATTGTTTTTTTTTAAAACTTGTAATGAACCTAGTCTGGTTTAAATGTTTCCCCCACGACTGGGAGGTTTCAGAAGATCACGACACCATTTTCCTGGGTTTCTAAGAATGGAAGGGACTATGAGATTTCGTATTAATGGGTTTCTGTATGGGTGGTCAGGGGTTAGACGGTTATGGTGCAAACATTGGTAAGTATCCAATGTATATTATGTATTCTTCATGAATTAATTTTAATTTTAGGTCGGAATGTAATATATTGTGTTGCTTGAAACGGATAAGCAGTAACTCAGTTACGCCAGTAGGCAGCCATTAACCAATTATCTGAGTTCTTTCATGACTAAATAAATTTTATTTAGTCGTGAGTTCTTTATTGTTTTGAAACGTTAACTTTATTTACCTACTTTTGATTTTTTTGCATTTGCCAATAGATGTATATTTATTAATTAAGATGCGTATGCGTCTATATGTCCAGACTGCAGGTTTAATTAGAGATTTATTGATGAATCGCTATTATAGTGTTATTGATGTTAGTGTATTATTTATTATTAATAAATGTTTTGAGAAGGCTTAATCAAGAATTTATTTATATTGAGTCGAAACCGTTTCAAATTTTAACGGTTACGTTTTCGGTTTTCTACATTTTCTGGCTTTGGTTTTGGTTTCAAAAAAGGTTTTTCAAATTTATCGGTTATTAGTATCAAGAACGGTTTTTTTTACCTTTACCCAATATATTATTGTATCTAACTCTTCGATGAATTTTGTGTATAATATAATTTGTTTTCGAGTGCGTCGTGTATTGCCTATAATATATTATAAATAGTATATACTGTATTTATAAATTTCTAGAAGTTTTAAAAGTTTTTACATTTTTTTCGGTTTATTTAATAGCTGGTTCAATAAGTATTAAGTATTATTTATTTTAATGTACCTATATTACAATTTGTTATTTGGATTGTTCATTCTCGTACCGAAAAAAGCGTGTCTTGTGTTTTTATAAAAAATATTTAATATATAATAGAGACATTCGGTAATATTATAATATTACTGGACTGGTGGAGTTTGTTATTCAATATAATATCTAAGGTGGTGTAGTTGGAAAGGTACACAATTCTACTTTAATAAATACCTAATATGGAATATTAACGATTTATCCAAAGTCCAAATTGTACTGTAGAAAAATAGTTTAACGTCTGTGGTTCTATGGTCTGTGTGTCCAGCCCAAAAACATATTAGGAAGGACGCCAGGACCTGGTCTTGTCTATATTGTTAAAAAAACATTGGAAGTATTGGTTAGTGTTTAGTGACATAAATAGACTGAGGAACAATTGGTCAATAGAACAAACATTCTGAGAAATAAATACGCGTCGGAACAAACATAATATTATGTAGGTATGTTTTGGATATTAATTAAATTCAAACAATTTCGCTTTTGAACAACTATTTTCCAAAAGTGAAATAAAAATGAAAAGGTGACCCACCCATCCACCGATCCATTATTTTAAAACTAAATACGACGTAATGTCGTGATGAGGCATGAGCAGTATTGAGCACTAATATTATAAATTGTATCGTCCAAAAAATGATAAGTAAACAATCGCCGTATCAGCCTGCTGCTGATACCCGATGACGGGCTGTGCGCCTAATTCAAATTCTACCATAGGCCGAAGATACGGTGGTTTTATAAATGAATTCTACTGTTTTCTATGATAAAATTAAATTTGTGTTATCCATACTATGTGAATAGGCGATAGACTATAATAATAATATATAATAATATAAGCCTATGGAAATGGCGCAGACGACAGATTACGGATATCGAGATTTTAAATTGTTCAACAATATAGATATCTATTCTGTGGTAGTGAGTGCTGAGTGCCTGAGTAGTCTATGGTTTTATGTTTTATCATTTATTACGACCTCGCGTTAACCGTAGTTGGTTGTTCGTTGCTGTCAATAATTTATTTTAGGCTTTAATTTAGTTCAGAATGCACGAGTCCAGAGATACTGTGTCCGTAAGTAGTTGTCTAATGGCTGCTAAGTAGGTACTAATTATTATTAATAACAACGGTAGTCCGAACTCCGAAGTCTCTGATTAGGAATTAAGAAATGACGGTAGTCAAAACGTGTCGACATTGAAGAGTCCAACGCGTATAAACTAGCCATAACAATCAACACAATTTCATGGTTTCACATGGTATAATATACATTATAGTACTTGACACAAACACGTGTTTTAAACATTTGAACGTCAGCAAACCGTATTTTGTACCGAATGGAAATAATAACTTTGTTTTTTATAAAGATGTAACAAATTTGTCGTAAGTCGCAATGAACTAAATATGTCGTATTATCGGACATGTCACGTCATGATATTCGTAAATTCTTTGATTTATGGTCATGTTATAATGTAGATAAAAAAAAAAAATCAAACAATGTAAATATTCCAAATCATAATGATTATACTAGTATATTGTTTAAGTGCATTAGTTGCTCATTACTCATTAGGTACATCTTATTATTGTTAAACGGACAAACCTCATTTTGTTTGATTAATGATTATTGATAAATGATAATAATATAAGGTTGTTGATTGCTGACTATAATATGTTATAGATTTTCTAAGTAGTTCATACAATTAATATTTATTGTAAACTTTTCAATCATATTCGTATCAAATTAAGTACTTAATAAATATAAGTAGATGGTTACATGACAAAATAATTTCAATTATTTAAGTTGGAAAAATGTATGCTGTATAATTATTATTTGTCCTGTTGCTGTAAGTTAATTTGATATAATTATAATATAGTTTTCTTGGATTGAACGTTTTTTCTGTAAGTATGCTGATTTGTAGGTTATTACCTACAACATTATATATAATTTTAAATTAAACACATTTATGAATAGGTATTTCTCACAAATACCTACATTTTATAATATTTTTTTTTTAAAAGTGTAGGTAGACTAGGATAAAATACAACTTAAATTGAATGCTATCTTCATTTCAATTGTGATATTACCACCTAACCATCAATTAAACAATAATTATCATTATGTATTTATTATAAAATCAATACTTTTACCATTGATCAAATATACAGTAAATTTAATCAATTCTATTACTTAGTTTAGCTACTGAATCCAAACACTAAAGTAATACCATGTGTATAGTATGTTCTCACAAATATTTTCCTGTCTTCCTTTTCAAATTTTACAAAGAGCAAACAAACACACTATGTTAATTTTAAGATACTAATATACTTTTTTTATTCAGTTACTTTTGCTTATTGAAATCACTATATGATATTTGTAAATTGTAATCCATTTACAATAATAAATTCTATGATAGACTCTAAATAGTACTAGATATTAATTTTGTACTGATACCTAAATGTAATTTTTTTTTAATCTAGAAAAACTAATATTTCTGACAAAAATGGACAAAATGGACAAAAAAAAAAGTTCTCAAACTAAAAGGTAACTGGTACTATACTCTATTCAGAATAAGAACAGACCAGTCGAACACGTCGTTGTTTGTAAATCCATCCCCACTACGGCTGCCTTCACAAATATTCACTGTTGGTTACCGAATAATTAACGAGTCGGCCAAAAAGTGGTCTGGCAGCACCAACCTCAGTTCCGATGCGGTCTGTTCTTATTTTGAATACTGTATATACTACTATAATATTATATACTTACCTTTTAAAATACTTTATTTTGATATGTATCTATTAAAAATCAAACGTTCAAAAAGTCCACATGTGAGATATATCAGGGAAACCTGACCAATTCTGTCAGACCTAAACCTTGAATAAGTATCTATACTTATCAAATTTTGTTTCTTGAAAATTCTTAATTTTACTAAAATGTTAAAACAAAATATTTAAACTTTGAACTGGTGGACTCTTTGAGTTAGGCATTCTAGACATAAATAGTAATTGATAAACATTATTCAAAATTTAATTTAATAAAAACTAATGTAATTGATTGCTTAGTTAATTGTTCTTAGTTTACGTACTAAGTATCGGTGGCGTATTTATACTCTGTTGGCCGAGAGAACAAGCCGTGGCCCGACGAAAATCGGTTTGTTCTGCTCATCCCATAGCTGCCAGAGGTCACTTATTGTCGTCGCAAATTTTGGAAGGGGAAATTGAGCCTTGGTGAGTGAACAGCCGTCAGTATACATGCGCAGATCCGGCATGTTATTTCGGCTAACAGAGTATAGGAATTTTTCATCCAGGGTCAACCCTTTGATCAACCCCCCTGGTAAAACACCATTGTGAAGTATATATATATTATGGTATAATATACATTTCCATGTTGCATTTTATATTTATCTATATATTCTGTATATTATCTTTAATTTAGAAGAACTATTAATGTTAATCGTCCTTTTTCAACATCTATATTTTAGAGTTTTGGTTGCATAAAACTATTTATAAAAATTAAAAATAATGTTTATATTTATATTTAAATTTGTAATACATTTATTTAGGAACATAGTAGAATCAACAGATAATAAAAAGAAGGATGTAAAGAAGAACCAAGTTAAAGATAAGAAACAAGGCAAAAAAGATAAGTATGTTCTAAGAACTTATGAATATATTTCTTTTAGAATAGTTTTCTTTTTAACTATCATATTTAATTACTATTTAACATTTTTAATGTATAATTGATTTTATACTGTTAAACTATAAACTTAAGCATTATTTTTGATACATTTTTGTGGGCTTAGAATATCAAAGATAATTACAGAAATTTCTTTATGTGTTTGTAAATTGTAATAAAAATAATAATAATATCATTAATATTAAATTAATTTAATTTTAACTAGACCAAGTGACGATGAAGATAACACAAATCAAGGCGGTAATCAATCTTTTTGTGAAGATCAAAAGGATTCTAAAAACATTATTTGTGAAAAAGATTTGGAACCTAAATCATTGGACCATGATAATGAAGAAGGGTAAGTTGTCAGTTATTTATATTCATCACTTTTCTCCGTTTACTTAAAAAAATTTGTGTATCTGTCATCATCTAAATAAACAAAAAAAATAATAAGAATCAGGTATTGATTATTGTTTGGTAGCTGAGTCATTATTTTATTCTTTTAGATTCTAAGTAATGGAAAATTGAATGTATTGATTTTACAATGTGTATATTTTTGTTATGTGACTGTGTATGTATGATTTTAAGAAGAAAAATTCTTGTGATTCAATATTGAGAGTTGTTTCTGATAGCATATTGACTAGCTTCTAGCTGGTAATTTTGGGAATGCAAAATTGAAAATACCCAGTATTTTTCAAAATAATCAAGAAAAACAAAAAAAAAAATATTAAGGAAACTGGCATTTTTATGCAATACCAGTTTTAAACAATAATGATTTTGTTTTTTGTTGTAACTCAGTGATTCCCAGTGTTGAGGGCTTTTTAATTATGATGGGGGGTTTAATTTTATTAGATTTAAGAATTTTGCATATAAAAATCTGAGGAGGGGTGTGGTGGTGGTATGAGATTTTTCAAAATCTAAAAAGGGTGTTGAGTAAAAAAAGGTTGGGAATCACTCGTGTAACTCATGAACGAATACGTCAAATGTTGGACAACTTGTCCAATACATTTTTATACTAGTATCTTTGTTTGTGATATAATTTTAAAAATATTTTGATTATTTTTTAACTATTTAAAGATTTGAAATTTTCCATTTTTTTTCTATACATTTTGATAAATAAATTTATTGGTAAAAAGCTTGAAAAATTAATACAAAGTTTCTATTCAGTTGCCGTTATTGCTATTTGAACATATCAAAAATATATAGAACCTATATATTATAGATTATCTATATTATAGATGAAAATATAGACCCATTTTTTTTTGTAGACATTTAAAGTTGAAATTAGATATTTATACAAAGAATAATGATTTTAGTTTTTTTTTTAAAAATTCAAAAATATTATTCTTGGAAACTTGAGGCTTTTACAGTTTAACATATAATATTATATTTTATAATGACATTTTCAAAACATTTAGATTAATTTCATGCTATTGTCTATTTAGTATTCATGCTGCAAAAATATTTATACCTTTCTTCAGTGGGTCTGTACTCTGTATTAAGTCATAAATTAATTACAATAATATATAATATAAAATATATACTATCAGGGGCGCCCGCAAAAAATTATCTCAGTCGGTGCAAAATTAAATTTATGCTATATATACATATGTATACATACTAGGTAGTTACATATTTACATTATTATACACTGATTTTTTTGTTCATTAAAAAAATCCCAGTGGGTGCGGCTGTACATTATTATAATAATTAAATATTTATAATATAATATGCATTGTATTCAAAAATAACTAATTCAACTAATAGTAAAATAAATTACTATAGGTAATAGGTATCATAAAATATACTTAGTGATGTAGGCTGAGATCACCGTCTTTGCTCAGAATTGTTTTCAGTATGTTATGATTTATCATTGAATTCATATTTAGCATATACTCTACATTGACTTCCTTAATTATCAGATACAATCGACACCTACCTGTGTGGTAGATGCTTAGCATGATAGAGTGGTTACCTAATTTCTCATTTTTTTAAATTACATAATGAACCAATATTAATTTGCACAATTTGAATTTTTTCAATAATTTATGATTTAAAAGAAAATGTTATCAATTATTAATATTAATTACTCTCATTCTTTTACTTAAGTTATTATTACTTAGATTCTTAATATGCATTGTCAAAAAAAATTATATTATTTTTATCGAGATTTTTATTGCATGATTATTGAATCATTATTTTATTATTCATAAATTTCAAATTTCACAAAATAACACTTCACATAAATAATTATATTATTGGGCACTTAAATATATTTATGCAATCAGCATTCATAAAAGTCATAAAATTATTAATATATATATATTTTTTTTCATTAGATGGTGTGTACAAAGAAATAAAAAAAAAACTAGTCATCAAAATTTGAGTGAAGAACAAAAATATCATAAAAATGTTGAACAGAAGAGCAAATTGTCTGACTCGAATTCCAAACAAAAAAAAACCCATGATATTAACAACATTGATTCACATGAGGATGAGGATACACATAAATCAGTAACTAAAAAGGGAAAAAGGTATGTTGTCAATTATTAATATTAATTTTTTCTAACTTACCTATTTTTAATATGGGTTCGTCTGAAAGTAATAGTTTTTTTTTTATTTAATAAGAACTTAATTATGATAATTGTCAAATTTTGAGAATTTTTTATTATTTTTATACTACCTACACATTTTTTCATAAAATGACAGGTTAAATAATCACTTAAGTTTCAAATCATTGTTGTGGACACAAAAATGTATTTATGTAATTAGCATTCATAAATAATAATAGTAATAAAATCATTAATATTTTATATTGTTTTAACTAGGCGGAGGGATAAAAAAAAAAAAAATAGTCAAGAGCAAAAAAATATTTCTGACATAGATAATATATTTAATCAGACAAAAGTACATGATGGAAACGGAAACAACATTAATGCGCATAAAGAAAATACACAAAATTTATCAAATGATGATTTAGCAGGGTATGTTTTCAATTATTAATATTCAACATTGACATTCTTTTACTTAAGAACCTTTATATTATATTTAAACTGTGAAAATGTCAACGTTTAAAAAAGAATGTTGGTATAAAATAATTGTATGATAACAATATTAATAATAATACAATATTTATTAAATAAATAAATATATGTAACACACCAAAAGCTTAGAGTACAGTATTCAAAAACTAAAATTATTGTTAAATTAACACATGAAGACAATAGTTGAAATAACTGTGAACATGATAGTTGAATCATTCTTTAATTATTTTTAAATTTTAAATTTAAAAATAATTAAAAGTATAAAAATATTTAATCAGCATTCATAAAAGTAATAAAATCATTAATATTGTATATTATTTTAACTAGACGGAGAGATAAAAAAAAAAAAAAAAATAGTCAAGAGCATACTGATATTTCTGACATGGATTCATCCATTGATACATTTAATCAGACAAAAGTACATGATGGAAACGGATACAACATTAATTTGCATGAAGAAGAAACAAAAAATGTATCAGTAAATAATGATTCAAAAGGGTATGTTATTAATTATTAATATTCATCACTAAAGACCAGATTTATATCCTCTAAAAAACCTTCAAATATTCTCATTATATTCTCTTAAATAAATGCTAAAATAAGCAAAAATAATCAATAAACCTCATTATTTGCTTTATTATGCATTTAAAAATTTTTTTTTCAACATTATTTTATTAGTGGGTATTAATTAGGTATTAAAAGTTGCTTATTCTAACAGAATACTATTGCACTTTAATAAGAGTTGAAAATGATATTAAAAAAAAAAATGTAATTGTTCAAAACATTTTTTTCTGGGTACCCTAATATTAAAATTAAATTAATTAAAATAATTACAATTTTTTTCTCAGTTCATGAAATATTTCAAAAAATGCTAAATGGGTTAAATATTCTCTAAGTCATGAAATATTCTCAAATATGCAAAAAAAAAACTTTTTTCTATGCATTCAGAATTGAACGAATTGTCCACATTTTGTACTCTCATAAGACTGCATAGACCCAGTAACGATATGTAAAAACATTTAAATCCAGTCTTTATTCATTACTTACATTATTTTACTTAAGTACCTATATAATGTTTAAATAAATCGTGAACATGCCATCGTCTAAAAAAAAAAAGTTTGATAGTTGAATCATTATTTAATTATTTTAAAATATAAAATTTCAGGAAGTTAAACTTTACATAAATAATCACAATTGTTTTGGGTAGTTCAAAATATTTAAACAATCAGCATTCATAAATTTCAAATACTTACAATAATTATTAATATTTTATATTATTTTAAATAGACAGAGGAATAAAAACAAAAATGAAAATAGTCAGAAAAAAGTTCATGGTAAAAACAACATTAATTTGCATGAAGATCTACTTCATTCATCAGTAAATGAAGATTCAAAAGTGTATGTTGTCAATTATTAATATTTATGCAATCAGCATTCTTTAAAGTCATTAACGTTTTATATTATTTTAAATAGACGGAGAGATGACAAAAAAAACAAAAAAACAAGCCATCAAAGTTTGAGTGGAGAACAAAAAAGTCATAAAAATGTTCAAAAGCAAAACAAATGGCCTGAGAAAGATTGCATTGATGACAATATGAAACAAGCACATGATAGAAAAATTGATTCGCATAAGGATACACGCAAATCAGAGGGAGCAGAAAGGTATGTTGTCATTTATTAATATTTATCTTCTCTTACTTACATATTACTGTGGAACCTTATTAATCCGATCTAATTTGGGCTCATGGTTATCTGAATTAATAAAAGTCTGGATTAAAAAAAATAACCTAATACATGGTCTAAGATACCTACTTGTTTAAACACACAAGTTCAGTAAAAAAAATGTATAATATTACAGATTTAAGTAATATAAAGGTTATTTAGTATACAACATAATATAATGCCCTAAAAAATACAAAGTAACTAGTTATTCTGTTTATTTTTCTGATAATACTAATAATACTATGTAATACAAATTACGTGTGTTCATGTTGAACGTTACAGCCGATCTGATATTTGCGTCATTATTTTATTATTTTTATATTACTAGTTTTAAACCATTGTTTTGGACACTAACATGCATTTATGTAATCAGCATTCATAAATCATAATAGTAATAAAATCATTAATATTTTATTATTTTAACTAGACCGAGGGATAAATACAAAAATAACAATGGTCAAAAGCAGAGCAGATTTTCTGATGCATGGTATGTTGTCAATTATTTTAATTCATCACTCTTCTTCTTTTATTAAACTTTATTTATTTAAATTTATAACAAGTTATCTATCGTTGTCTTAAATAAATCGAGAATTATAATGATTATTGTATAATAGTTCCACTAACTATATTATTAACTTGTTCCTTTAAAAAATATTTTTGTTTTTACTTTATGCCTTAATGTTTATCAATTTAAATTTTGAAGACAAATTTAACATTATTTTGCAATATATTCAGTTTAAAATATATTTAAAAATGTTTCATTGTTATTTAAGTATTTTAAAGGAAATAGATGAAGACATTTTCAAATTATCAAAGGAATATTCTCTTGCTCATTGTGTTGCTGAAGACTTACGAATGGGTGCTGGCATAGCTGTTGATTTCAAGTAAAAATGTCTTATTTTTTTTAATGATGTATACTCAGTTGTAATTTATTTAATTTACTTTCTAGAAATATCTTTGGTGGTGTTGGTAAACTAGTTGATCAGAAATTAAAAATAGGAGATGTTGGTATAGTTAAACGTCACGATCAATATGCATTTTATTTGATAACAAAAAAAACTAGTAATGGTAAACCTACAATGATTACAATGGAAAAAGCGCTCCATTCACTTTTAAACAAAATGAAAGAATACAATTTAACAAAATTAGGAATACCAACAATTGGTTGTGGATTGGATAGACTTGATTGGTCTGATACAAAATCGCTCATAAATAAAATATTTTCTGGATCTGGTATTCAGATAACAGTATGTATACCTTCAAAAGTGAGTGTTACAAATAATCACTGCTAATTACTAAATAACTTGGTACGTTTATTATTATATAAATATTCTCAGTTACTAGATTCGAAAAAACCGCCGAGATTAACAGTTTACATTACACCAAAAAATTTATGGGAAATGGAAGCCGAAACCATTATTATTTTATTTATTGACTTAGAAAAAACATGCAACGAGAATTGGACAGATCATATAGTAGATAAAGTTGACGCTAAATACCCATTCAAAAAAAAGTATTTATATTTTTATTTAATTTATTCCATATATCCATTGACTTTTAAGACTTAGAAAATAAGAAATTATTGAATATATTAGTAAAAAGAGCCATTTTGTTCTAAAATAAAAATATTAAGTATTCTGTAAGGTAGGTTCGGACAGGTCCTTAAAACTATTATTTGGTAATCAGATCATTGTTGCTGTACTACCATTAGTCAAGCATTTTTAATAATAAAAAAGTTATTTCAAAATAATGATGTTCTAGTATTCTTGGTAATAAACAGGTTATCACAATATGATGAATATCCATATTCCAAGTAACTTATATTCCATGTTCAGAATTTTCTTGTCATTCACTAAACTAATTAATAAGCTAAAATTATTTCACTAGTCATTACTCATAATCAACCCACATTGGAAGAGTTGAATATTTTCAACTATTTGGTATATTGGGGTAACGGCTAATTGGTTAACTACACGGACACACGGTTAACATGGAATACAGAGACAGTGTCATAGAGCCTTATCTGTGTTAAGTAAAAATCTAGTATGTAAAGAGATAAAAAATTTTGATTCAAGTTGCCATAATTTTATATAATATTTTTTGAATAGAACTAGCATTATACCATCACTAATTGGTTTCTTTTTTATGACAATTAACTTATCCGCTTATTATATTTTTTTTAAGATTTTAAGTTTAGTATATTTTCAAGTCATGGAAGGGGGTAATGGAATTTTACAATTTAAATTAATTACAATATCATTATACATCTTGTATGTCAAATAATAAATTAATTGTATATTATTTGTTTGTAGCTTATTAAGTGATATCAGAAATAAGAAGCCTAACCCTGGTGACATAACAGAATACAATGTTAAGAACGAATATATAATTTGTATATTTACCACTGAAAATACATATTACGGTTCTCTAGAAAATGGATTTAAAACCATACAAAAAAAATACAAAGAATATAAGTATTTGGCTATTCAAAGTGACCTCATTGATTACCCTAGCGACAATTTTCAACGTATATCATGGATAGTATTAATATCTCGTTCGGTTATTCACTCTTCTGAATTATGGTTATGTGGTGATGCCAAACAAAATAATTACAAGGTGAATTATGATGAATATTGTAAAAATGTACTCCCTATGAATAATTCATTTCAATATAATTCTCCAAATCAAAAATACAACAGATATAATGATGATCGTCGTAGTAATTTTAATACAAAAGAAACAAGTAATCAACATTGAGGGTATCAAAATAGTTTCTATAAAAACAGATACATGAATCTATACGGCCACCTGAATAATAAAACTCCTATGACATATTGATCATGTGATACTTGTATAATCTGTTTAAATAAATATGTCATTATTTCCAATTAATCAACATAATCTTTTACTTGAAGTAGTTATTTATATTTAATGTTTCAAATGTTTTCTAATACTACTGTAAAAAATTATTTTTGTAATGTATTAAATACTAATTATAATATTATGTTTTGTATTTAAATATCTATTGAAAGTTACATTGTATAATAAAATACATTATGTTTATTAATAAATGTTCTTATTTAATATTTATAAATAATTTATTTACAAACATTACATGTTACAGCGTATTATAATGACGTAGCCAGGGTTTAAAAATTGTGAGGTGGGTGGGGGAAAAATATTTAAAAAAAATATTCAACAACTAACAATAATGTTTTATTATAGACTCGTAGTGGATTCATAATACCGAATAGGTTACATTTGAACTAAATAGATCAGTGGCGTAGCCAGGAGTTACCCAAGTAGAGGGGGGGATTTTGATATTTTTTAGGCGTATCACTAAAATATGGTACAGTTTTTAAACTATTTTGACTTATTTTATAAATTATTATTCAGTTGTAACTTCATAAATTTGTTTTCTTTTCATAGCTAACATTAGAAATTTGAATAGAAGACTCCCCACAAATTGTTCTACTTTTAACAAAAAAAATTGCACTGAAAAATCATGCTATTTATAGCCTCTATATATTTTCAATTGTTATAAATTTCTTTTTAACTATTAAATTTGATTATTTATGCAAGACATATAGGCTGACATAACGTCTCCACTCAGAATTGTTTTTCGTATAAGATGATTTCAAATATATAGCACATGGTCCATACAAAGACAAGACGACAACTATATACTATTGTACAGTAGAACTGTACCCACTTGTCTACCTATTTAAAAATCTTCATCCGCAATATGTCTGATATTTTTTAATACATTATAGATATCAACATGACCTGCCAGTGCCATGGCTTCAACTAAATCAATATTTTGAAATTGAATGAGTTTACTGAGAGGTAAACTTATTTACTTATGCTAAATACTCTTGCCAGCAGATATATTGCTAAAATAAATTCAGGTCGCATAATAGCACACAACCACGCAAGAGTTGGTAAGCTTCTGATGACGAATTTCTATTTATTATTTGCATATGACATATTCGACTTTAGATAACGTGAGAAATGTTATAGATAAAGTTAGTAAAATTAAAACAAATAAACAAATATGATAATTAAGATAACTAGTCAACTATTTAAAAACAAGTAATAAAATATATAAAGTGTTAGTATGGTAGGTTATAGTAGGTATAGTAAATTATAATAACATTAATACTAATAGCAATAAAAATCACAGACGAGTATTTAGTTCTTCAAGCCATTTTATAGCTGTTGGTCCACCCTCGTGTAGTTTTGTTAATCCTTTTTTGAACATTGTAATGGGGCACGACTCAACCATATGTTTGATTGTCTGCGTTTCTCCACATTCGCAAAGTGGAGAGTCTACCATTCCCCATTTGTGAAGTAGGTAGTTGCATCTTCCTTGTTCCGTTCTTATTCGATTAAGCGTTGTCCAGCACGAATTTCTATAAAAAAAATAGATGGTAATCCATCAACAACTTCATCAAATAATTCCATAAAGGTAATTATGGAGTTATTCCAATTGACCCATCTAGTTGGACAATGTAATTTTAATTTAGTAATATGTGATCTAGGACAAACACGTTGTATTGAATCTAACATTACGTTTTGTCGTTCAGGGTATTTAAAAAAACAAGTATACTTTTTGGTATGGTGCCAGTACAGTTTCGTAAAGATTTAATGTCACTTGTGTCGGATATTGCTAGATTTAAACAATGTGAGGTGGAACTTGCAAGAGTGTCCGTACGAATTTGTCAAGCGAAGGGAAAAATATTTTCCTTAAAACTTAATTAACAAAACATGAAGGTAGGTACCTGTTTTTACATTGTAGGAATTTACTATCAGGGCCGTTGCTAGGTTTGGCGAGGCCCTAGGCAAAATATTCCGGAGGGCCCTGAAGAAAGCTTTTACAAATCAATAGTGAAAACCAAAAAGATACATTTTAGTATTTTACTATAATTCATAAAATTATCTTTGTTGTTGATGTTGCTAATTGTTTTTTTTTTTTTGTTCATCAGTCATCACTATACCCTGCATATAATATAATATATAACCATGTAACTAATATTTTTTAAATTTCGTTTTTTCTATATAATATAATTGGACGTCACGGTTTGATAAAATTAAATTGTTACCTACTAATTAATTTTTCTACTCTTTTTTGCTGCAAAAATATGTACTATAATGGTTTCGTAATTCACATTTTCGGCTAATTCCTTTTCAACAGCTAAAGTTGCTAGACCACTTTGTGGTCTTGTGACATTTGAGGTAGTTTTTAATGAGCATAAGTTTTGAGAAACTTAGCTAGTCCCCCGCCGAAGTAATGGGAATTGTGAGCATAGTTCTTATAGCCACACTTAGGTTTGGAAAAGCTCCATTACATTTGTTTAGTGTACCTAGTACTTGCAACGGTGTTTCTGATTCATCCACAATATTTCGTCAAATAAATCACATTCGGAAACATCTTTTTCTCCGCCTACTTTTAATTTTTAAAAACATCGCAAGATTCTTATAATGCCTTCTAATATCCTGCTCTTGTATAGACGTAATTACACAGTAAAACTAATATATTCCTCGCTCCGATCATAATTATATAAACGCAAGGCGCCAAGGCCCTTATGGAGCCTAATATGGCCCATAAAGCTCTAGGCCCTCCCCCCTTCCGCTGGCCATGCTTACTGTGTAAAGTAACCTGGGGTATAATCACGATTTAAGATGGTACCTTATATCTAAAGAAACTATCTTAAATTGTGGGCATAATGCCGCTGCTGAAATAGCTCACTTCCCAGTTCCCGCCCTTGCACACAATATCCTATAATCACTGATGAAAAAATTAATTTATAACGAAATAACCTAAAAAAGTATGCAAAATGCCGTCTGTAAAAATTTTCAAATTTTGTAAACCAGGGGCAAATGCCCCCTTTGCCACTCGTTAAACACACCCTTTAGAATAAAATCTTTGTTCCTTGTGTGAAAATAGTTCGCCACGCCACTGGGGTTGGAGTAACCTGTACCTGGGGTATAATGGCGCATGGGGCAAAAATTGCAAAATGAATTATTGTGTAATGCAAGGTGTTAGGACGTGTATTCAGTATTGATACACCTTGGTGTAACAACTGTGATATTTCAAATTATATTGAAAAACTTCATGAGTAATTTAATAATTGATATCTGGTCCATAGATTTTATTATGATTATGTTATCATGGCCAAACGTGATAAACATTTTAAAATGTTCTTTTGGGTTTCCTAACTTTCCTTTGGAGTTTGGATGATGGAAATTAGAATACTAAATTAATCTAAAAATTGGGCTCCTAATTAATTGTAATTTGTATTGTATTAAGACGAAATCATGGTTCTTCGTTGTATATTGTGTTGTAGTGCATCAAATACACACAAAGACGTCAGTTTCCATCGGTGAGTCAAAAATTAAAATGTTGTTTTATATAACAATATAATTTTAAGTTTATACTTTTGACATACATTGTTTTAGGTTTCCAAAGAATGAAACTGTACGATCAATTTGGATTGACTCTTTAAGTATAAAAGAAGTTGTTAAAGACTGGCATCGAATTTGTAGTTCACACTTCTCTCCAGATCATTTTACTTTTAAAAATGAACGGAAGATTTTAAAACTAAGTGCCATTCCAAAAGAGTAAATATTTGTCTTCAAAATATTTGTTCTAGTAATTTAAGTTATTTAAATATACTGTTTTTATTGATTAATAGGAAAGAAGTGAAAGACGAAGTCGGAAGTTGTGAAACTTCCTTAGACCATGACGTGAATTTAATGAGTAACAGGTATTAAATTACTTTTTAATACTTTATATGCTTATAATATTTTCTTAATATAGGTATTAAATAACTACATAATATCTTGTTTTTAGTTTAATTGAAGTTGATTGTTGTCCTGATATTGACATTTCAAATGAATCTGCACCAAGTACAAGTGAAAGGTATAATAAAGTATTTCATCCCGTACAAACCCCTTATGTATTTAATTAATGTTATATTATCCATGCATTATACGCCAGGTAATTCTACCTTTTTCTATCATGTAGGAACTAACAAATGTATTTTTTTTACCTATTTTCCTAATGAAATAATTTAGTATTTATTTTAAATATAAAAATAACATTCCCAGGTATGCACTATTCGTTGTTGTGTAGAGATTTAGTCTTTTACAATCATAGTTTCAAGTTGTTAAAAAAACAATGTTTTTATTAAGAAATACTATTTTTAAATATTTTTTATCTAGAATATTTTTCTGAGTATTTTGATTTATAAGAATCGAATTTAGGGCGAGTAGTTTATGAGTTATAAGCATTTATAGTTTCGATGATGGTGTGGAGTGGTACGGGGTTACCCTGCAAAATGTTTCCTTACTACTATGCTTGTCTAATTATTAAATACTAATAACCCTCAAACGACTTGTCCCAAATTCAATTCTTATGTATCAAAATATTTAGAAAAATAGTGCTCTGCTTTGAAATATGAAATTAAAATTATGGGTCATTCAAAAAAGTAAAAAACTTAAACAAATATAAGGATTTAAAATATGATTTTCTAATAAAAACATAATTTTTTTAACAATTTGAAAGTATGAAAAAAAATATTTTCATAAACATTAAAACTTTTTGAAATAATGAGTGTTTAATGATAAAATAATCACCTTCTATTATTGTTTTTAGTTTAATTGAAGTTCATTGTTGTCCTGATATTGACATTTCAAATGAATCTCCGCCAAGTACAAGTAACAGGTATACTAAAGTATTTCAAACCCCTTTTATA